ACCTCCTTGGAGAGTCTGCTATGGTCCTTTAGCTTCTTTACTTCCTCTCCTGTTCTCGAGTGTGCTTAGAATCTACTACGAAGACGCAGTCTCTTTTTCAAGTACTTTCGTTGACTCAGAAGAAGGTTTCTCTTTGTTTCGGCACTTCCAGCTCACTTGAGGCTGCGTTCCTTCTTCAGAGCAACTCTTGTGGCTCCAGTTGGACCTTTTCTATGGACATTGCATGGAAAGAAGAGCTGCAAACAAGAAAGAAAGAGTTAGCTAATCAAAAGAAGCTAAGGGAAGTCCTGGAGGACAGTTCGTTCACTTGCTAAGTGTGGACGATGGGACATTAGGTCCACGTCGCTGGAACTTACGAAACTGCTCAAAAAGTTCGAAGTAGCATTCCAATAGGGCGTATACACCATGTAGGTATCCGACAGGTTCCCAGCGAGGTCAGCACTAGAGTATCTTCTTTGCGACCTCAACAGCCATCGTGTTATCGCCTTGCCTGACTTACTCGGTTCGTCGCGACCTCTTTGATTGGTCGCCCTCAGATTCGGTTCTGATTCTTCGACCTGAATTTGTTTCCTCTTCTTTCGCTGGGCCGTTGTCTTCAACTCGGTTGAGCAGGAGATAGCTTGGAAGCCTTCATTTTTGTGCCGGTACATCCTCTGAAGGTATGTTTAAGGAGTCTCAGAAGGTGTGCCGGTAGGCCCGACGTTGCGCCTTCAGCAGTGGAATGTCAAAGCAGCTTCGATGCTTTGGCTTTCTTTGTCCAAGGGAAAGTGACCTGCCTTCGTGCGGCTACTCTGACTCCTTCGGAGGCATGGTCACTACCTGCAAAGCATATAGCCAAATATCACTTTACATGACCAGAAAGAGAGGACTACGCAGGTTCGATCCTACACTTGGATCGGTAGCAAAACATTCGTCGACAAATTTGGAGGAGCCTCCAACGTGCGTTTGTTTCTCTTAACTCATGTTTAATATTTTTGTAGATTATTATTATGATAAAATTGTAAAATCATACCCTTGATCTTGGCTCATGTAAACGATCTTTAAGTTATATTATTTTTGTTTCCGCTGTGTATACGAGACCGTTTACTAACACAAGGCGTGCAATCCAATCCAGTTGCAGCGGTGCAACCGCCAAAAACACCTGTAGGTCGCGCAAAAGCGAGGCAAAGGGAAATAGCCTGTGCCGCGAGCACTGTAGCACGTAGACAAAAAGGTAAACAAGTGGCAAAAAGCAAGCCCACGGGCTCCAAAGGGCCAGCAAATTCTGAGCGTGTCCCGAGCAAAATACCAGTCTCATTGAGATTCGGTGAAAGGACGCAGCTCGAGCTGTCCCATGCCACGTTGCAAGAGCACACCCATAAAAGTGCTGGTCGAGGCGATTCCTATCACCACCAGCAAAACGATCCTGATCGTCACCGTGCGAAAGGGTCCCACACTTCGCAAGGCGGTTCTTACCACCGTGAAGGTCGTGAAAATACCCTGCACCCTTCATCTCCATCACACGCCTCTAGCCGACGTGTGTCGAGAGTGGCCGGAACAGCTGGCCGAGGCGAAGAGGAACCCAACCTCCAGACTTTCCTCAACCGTAATCGCGAGGGTTGAACTCGCATGGGTGAAAGCAATCCCTAAGCGGCTCCATTGTCGCAAATTGAGGAGCTACAGCGAGCTCTAGACAGACTGCGAGCTCAGCAAAACGAGCACGGGCTGGTCACATCTGCGTCCCCTTTCTCTACCAAAGTGTTTAGTCGCTCCTCTCCCACCAGGATTCAGGATGCCTGACATGCGGGCGTTTGATGGGAACTCTGACCCGTAGGATCATTTGTATGAATTTAACAACCCGATGGAGTTTCACCGGGTCTCAGATCTAGCAAAATGCCGTTGTTTGGCAGTGACCTTGACCTCCCATGCCAAACGTTGGTTCAAGTCGCTCCCAGCAGGATCGATCAGTTCGTGGCCTCAGATGAGCGCGATGTTCCTAAGACATTTTCAGGCAAATCGGAAGTTCTCGATGCCTTTGAGCTACCTTAGCAATATAAGGCAAGAAAGGGATGAATCCCTCCAGTCCTAAATTGATCGTTTCCACAGAGAGCTCAACAAGGTGGCTCATACTCCTGAAGAGTCTGTTCAGACTCTCATCATAGCCGGAGTCCGTCCACAGACCGACCTGTGGAAAGAATTACAGGGTGAGGACGATGTTTCCCTCACCGGATTCTATAATCTTGCAGAGAAGTACCTCCGAATAGAAAATTCAATGGCGGCACTCCGCCGTCGCAACCATGGCACTTCGGGCAGTGCACCTGGTCGGCAGGATAATAGAAGAGCTGATCGTAGGGGGGATGTAGACGATCAGCGAATAGGGAAGAAACCTTGCTACGAGCCTAAAAAGTCCTACTCCCTCGTCCCTTGTCGCGATTGCGACAGGAACCAATATACTCCACTGAACGCATCTGTATCGGCTATTCTCGATAAATCCGAGGAAGCCAGCCTGCTCAGAGAGCCCAAGCCCATGAAAACTCCAGCGACAGCCAAAAATAATAAAAAATATTGTCTCTATCATCAGGACAATGGGCACCATACTGATAAATGTCGAGCTCTCAAGCAGGCGATTGAAAACCTAATCAAGCAAGGACATTTCAAGGAGTATATTGATGACTATGCTCCCTCGCAAGAGAAAAATCAGGGGGAGTCAAGTAAGAAGCGTCGCGATCAGAAAGGTGTGTGCACCCTTAATTTAATTTTCGGGGGACCACATTTCGCGGGAAACTCGCGAGGTGCCTAAGAAATGTATGCTCGCGAGTCATACCACGAGCCCATCAGAGTGATGAGCGTGGTACAGTGACCACAGAAGGTTTGCCAGGAGGAGGAAATTTCCTTCTCCGAAAAAGATGCGGCCCGGCTGTATCATCCTCACGAAGATGCCCTTGTGATAACGCCCTTCATAGGGTGCCATAATGTCCAGAGAATGTTAGTGGACAACGAAAGTGCTGTGAACATCCTGTTCGCTTCGACTTTCGAGAGAATGAATTTGGATGAGGCAGACCTGAAGCCTGCCTCGTTCCCCCTATATGGCTTCATAGGGACCACCTGCTCCCCAAGGGCACGATCTCACTTCTAGTCACGTTGGGTGACTTCGACGAAGTGACCAGAGTAATCGAGTTCTTGGTAGTGGATTGTCCATCCTCCTTTAATGGAATTCTGGGGCGACCTTTGCTGAGACACTTCAAGGCGGTCACTTCAGTATACCATTTGAAACTGAAGTTCCCCACCCTAACGGGGATTGGGGAAGTTAGCGAGTCTCAACGCATAGCTCGGGACTGCTATGTGAAAGCAGTTCAGATGGCGTGCAAAGGCAAAGGCACTTCGCACGACGATCATAACCAGACAATGGCGATCATCCGGATAGAGCCACAGCCTAGACCAGCCGAGGATAATATAGATCCTCGCATTCAGGATTGCCTTTCCAGTGGGCTAGTTGAGGACTTGACTGAAGTACTGGTCGATCACATGGAACCGAGCAGGGTGTTGAGGATCGGTAAAAATCTCAATCCTCAGCTCGCTACCGAACTGACCAGCTTCCTCAAGGAAAACATCGATGTGTTCGCATGGTCGCACGTAGACATGGTCGGGATCAGCCCAAATGTTATTTGCCATGCATTAAACATCGACAGTGAAGCCAAGCTAGTTCGCCAAAAAAGGAGAGCGATGGACCCGGAGCGATATGCTGCCTTAAAGCTTGAGGTAGATAACCTCCTCCGAAATGGGTCCATCCGAGAAGCACTCTACCTGACCTGGGTTGCCAACCCAGTTCTAGTAAAGAAGCCTAACGGTAAATGGTGGACCTGCGTCGACTTCACCGACCTCAACAAGGCATGTCCGAAAGATAGTTTCCCTCTGCCAAGAATTGACCAGCTCGTGGACACCACCTCGGGGCACGAACTGCTGAGTTTTATGGACATGTATTCGGGATACAATCAAATTTCGATGTATGGGCCAGACGAAGAGCATACATCTTTTATTACAGATCGGGGACTGTACAGCTACAAAGTTATGCCTTTCGGCCTTAAGAACGCTGGTACAACTTACCAGTGACTGGTTCACCGGATGTTCTCCGAATAGATAGGCAGATCGATAGAGGTCTACGTAGACGACATGCTAGTAAAATCTCATGTCGCTTCAAATCATGTAGCACATCTTGTTGAGATGTTCGGCATCCTCCGGCAGTACCAAATGAAGTTGAACCCCCTCAAATGTTCATTCGGAGTATCCTTGGGAAAATTCCTAGGGTACATGGTTAACCAACGGGGAATTGAGATCAACCTCGAAAAAATCCAAGCTCTCCTCGATATGAAGAGCCCGACCAACAAAAAACAAGTTATGAGCCTGAACGGGCGTATAGCGGCGCTAAGTCGCTTCATATCAAGGCTAACAGATCGCTGCTTGCCATTCTTCAATATACTCAGTGCCAATAAAAAGTTTGAATGGACTCCCGAGTGCGAACAAGCCTTCCAGAGAATAAAGGAACACCTTAGGAAGCCACCACTTCTGTCCAAACCTCTCCCACAAGAGATCCTCCTTTTGTACCTGTCCGTCTTACAGTTCGCAGTTAGTGCAACTCTTGTTCGGGAAGAGAATGGAACGTAATGGCCAGTATATTACACGAGCAAGCATCTGTTAGATGTCGAGATATGGTATCCAAAAATGGAGCGATTAGCCTATGCCCTATTGATCGCCTCCCGAAAGCTACGACCTTACTTCCATGCCCATACAGTTCATGTATTGACTAATTACCCGCTCAGGCAGGTCCTCCAAAAACTGGAGATGTCGGGAAAATTGCTCAAATGGGCCATGGAACTCAGCCAGTTCGATCTCCAATATAAACCAAGAGCAACTATTAAAGGGCAGGCTATTGCCGACTTCATCTCAGAGCTCTTGCATCATCCAGCGAACGAGTCAGAACAGCCCAATGAAGTCATCCAGGAAACTGTTCAAAATCTCTCGACATGGACCCTCTACGCGATGGATCATCGAGCAGAAAGAGGGCTGGAGCAGGCCTTCTCTTGTTGAGTCCCGAAAGGGCCCGCATTCATGGCATTCTCCGGTCCGGTTTCAAAGCAACTAATAATGAGGCCGAGTACGAAGCTCTGCTCGTTGGACTCAGGTTGGCCAGGGAAATGGGCGCAACTGCGATCAGCGTCTATAGTAACTCCATGCTGGTCATTAACCAGATTTTGGAAGAGTATCAAACCAAGGAAGATAACATGATCAACTATCTGAAAAAAGCTAAAGCCGCACTCGAGCCGTTCAAGCACTTCGCAATCACTCAGATCCCTAGAGAAAACAATTCTGTGGCAGACGCCTTGGCGAGGATAGCCTCATCATTAGACTTGGATGCACCAGAGAGCATCCCTGTTTGATTTATCGAAATCCTCAGTATCAGCCTAATCGAATAGGCCGTGAATGTAACGGGTTCAGACTCATGGATGACCCCCATTACTCTGTATCTCAAGGATGGAATCTTGCCTGATGATAAGGTCGAGGCAAGGGTTCTACGAATGAGATCTGCTCGCTACACCTTCATTGGAGACCAACTGTACAGGCGAGGGTTTAGTGCCCCTCTCCTCCGATGTGTGACCAACAAAGAAGCAGATTATATCATGCGGGAGATACATGAAGGGATTTGCGGTAATCACATAGCTGCGCGATCTCTTGCGAACAAGGTTGTTCGTCAGGGGTACTATTGGCCCCGAATCCAAGATGACGCCTACAACTTTGTCAAAAGGTGTGATAAGTGCCAGTGGTTCGCGAATATACCGCGAGCTCCCTCCCACGAGCTGGTAACCATGACTAGCCCCTGGCATTTCTCCATGTAGGGGATCGATCTCATCGGTCCCATGCCAGTCGATAAAGGGGGAGTCAAATATGCCGTGGTCACGGTAGATTATTTCACCAAATAGGTCGAAGCTGAACCGCTAGCCGCGATCACGACCAGAAAGCTCAAGGACTTCATTTTCAAGAATATTGTGTGCCGATACGGAATTTCTCATACCCTCATCTCGGATAACGGGAAACAGTTTGACAACGAGGAATTCAAACAGTTTTGTGACGAGCTGGGTATCCATAAAAAGTTTGCCTCAGTAGCAAGGCCACAAGCAAATGGCCAAGTTAAAGTTGTCAACAAAACTATCAAGCACACTCTGAAGGCCAAACTTGGCGCAGCCAAAGGGAATTGGGCTGACGACTTCCCTGAAGTCCTATGGGCATACAGAATTACTCCAAGAACCTCCACCTCAGAAACACCTTTTTCGTTAGCATACAGATGCAAAGCGATGATCCCTGTAGAGGTGGGAACTGGTTCACTTCGAAGGGACTTGTATAATGAGGCTGACAATGAAGCACTTATGAGAGCAAACCTAGACCTTGTTGAAGAACATCGCGGCAAGTCATCGCTAAGGATAATAGCCTATCAGCAATGCGCGAAGAGGTTCTTTGATTCAAAGGTCAAGCGAAGAGACTTTCAAGTCGGTGACCTTGTGCTAAAGGAAGTTCTTCTCTGTACCAGGGAACCAAGTGCGGGAGTGTTAGGACCGAACTGGGAAGGTCCATACCGCATCGACAAAGTGATAAGACCGAGGACTTATCATCTCAAAAGGCTGAACGGTTCCAAGGTACCCCGAGCTTGGAATTTTGAGCACCTTCGACCATACAATCAGTAATTTCGAACTCAGTTTTCCTTGTAAATTAACTTGCAATTTTTGTAAATAATTTTCTTGTAAAGTATCATTTTGTTTGCATGTAATCTTGTTCGTGTGAATGTGTTATGTCATCACACTTGTTTCAGTAAATGTAAGCAATTAGGAAGTACTCATGTATAATACAGCGAACAAAAATTGTAAAAGCAGAAATGTATTTCATTAATGTGGAGTACAACAGGCAAAATGACATGACTATAAGCCCTAATCCGGCTCCTAGAGGGCCGACCTCGTCGTCCTAGGGCTGGTCGGTTGAGGGTTTATCCGAGGCGTGTCCTAAACCTTTTGCTCGAGAGGCCGTTGCTTTATCATCCTCTCGCGCCATGGACATAAGTGTATCTTGCCAGTCTTCCGAGAGGTCGGACAAGTCAAGTCGCGGATTCTTCGGTGGCAAGGCATAAATAGAGTCGATTGCCCATTCGACAGCCTTCTCCTTGACCTCCGCTGCCTGATCCTGCATCTCTTGCGTTTAGGAAGCAACTCTTTCCTAACTTTCCTGAAGTTCAACTTCGAGGGCTTGCCTTTCCTTCTCGGAGGCGTCCCTCTCTTGCTCTGTTTGTAAGACCTGCAGAGAGGTCGCTTTGAGCTCCTGGTACTTCTCCCCGACCTCCTTGGAGAGTCTAGCTATGGTCCTTTGTAGCTTCTTTACTTCCTCTCCCTGCTTCTCGAGCTGCACTTTCTAGAAATCTACCGTACGAAGAGCCGCGTCTCTTTCATTCAAGTACCTATTCGTTGACTCAGAAGACAGGTTTCTCTTTGTTTCGGCAGCTTCCAGGCTTCACTTGAGCGCTGCGTTCTCTTCCTTCAGAGCAACACCTTCCTTCGTGGCTCCTAGTTGGACCTTTTCTATGGACATTCGCATGGAAAGAAGAGCCTGCAAACAAAGAAAGAAAGAGTTAGCTAATCAAAAGAAGCTAAGGGAAGTCCTTGCAGAGGACAGTTCGTTCACTTTGCTCAAGTGTTGGATCGATGTGGACATTAGGTCCACGTCGCTGGAACTTACGAACTGCTCAAAAGATTCCGAGAGTATGCATTCCAATAGGGCGTATACCACCAGCTGTAGGTACTCCGACAGGTTCCCCAGCGAGTCCAGCACTAGAGTATCTTTCTTTGCGACCTCAACAGCCATCGTGTTATCCGCCTTGCCTGACTTACTCGCGTTCGGTCGCGACCTCTTTGATTGGTCGCCCTCAGATTCGGTCTCTGATTCTTCGACCTGAATTTGTTTCCTCTTCTTTCGCTGGGCCGTTGTCTTCAACCTCGGTTGAGCAGGAGATAGCTTGGAAGCCTTCATTTTTCGTGCCGGTACATCCTCTGACGGCTATGTTTAAGGAGTCTCAGAAGGTCGTGCCGGTAGGCCCGACGTTGCGCCTTCAGCCAGTGGAACTGTCAAAGCAGCTTCAGCTGCTTTGGCTTTCTTTGTCCAAGGGAAAGTGACCTGCCTTCGTCGCGGCTACTCTGACTCCTTCGGAGGCATGGTCACTACATGCAAAGCATATTAGCCAAAATATCACTTTACATGACCAGAAAGAGATCAGTTAGTAGGACTTACATAATGGGGGCTCTAACGATGCGTTTGCATTAAAGAAACCGTATTTCCACAAACTCGCGGTTGTCACGAGTTTCTTCGCGTCGCACTTGTCCTCAAGTAGGGATCTGAAATGCACGATCCTACGTCTATCAAAGAGCAGTCCTAGGTCGGTCGTTTTGTTAACTGCCAGAAAGGAACCAAGTCGTTAGCAAAGCACATTTCAAAAAATAAAAAAATAAAAAAAAAGCCTACTCGGTTCCTGGAAGCGGCAATGACTATCATAACGAAAGAAGAAAAACTTCGTTTCATAGGCACCCGTGTTACTCGGATAGTTGTGTATCCCATCGGCGATAGTAGGTCGCCTGGACAAGTAGTAAAAGTCCTTGTCCTTACTCTTCTTCAAATAATATGAGCAGTTGACCTCCATCGCGGACAGCTCGCCCAGTCAATTCTCTTGGCACGCGATGTACATTGCAACTGCAATGATGTACGTGTTCGAGGTCAACTGTATCAGCGCAACCCCGAAGTGGTCCAAAAGCGACCTTATAAAAGGGTGGAAGGGGATCAGTCCCCCACCCTTGATGATCTCCTCGGAGACCGCAACCAGACCACTTAGCGGGTACCGCAATGAGTGCGCCACGTCGAGGAAAGCATCCACCTCGATAGCGTATTGCTTTATTACCCTCTCGAGCTCTTCCCCGGTAAGCACCGAGAAGACCTCGATAGGGATGTTTAGAGCACCCTGTGGGGATGAACCAATTCCTTGTTTGGATCTGGTTGTTGAGGGGTCCATTTTGCCGGTCTGTAAAGGCGACAAGCAAAAGGGTCATTTAGCCACCGTACGCTATTTCGTACAATGATGTGGGAGGAAACAAACTCCCAGAATCCCAAAAGAAACCCTAACGGCATGATTTGAGCCACCATTCATGGCTCGAACCAGACCTAAGCATCTCGTCTCCGATAGGCTACCGGAAGACAGACGCCATTCAACCATGGAAAATAACGAAACAAAGACAGGGAGAAGCTCTTACCTCTCGGAGTATGAGAATTGTTTCCGCTTCGAATGCCAAAAAAATGCTGGTTTGAAAGGCAGAGATTTCAAGTTTGCGAAAATCTTTTACTCTCTAAGAAAAAAAGGCTCTGGTGACATTGCCTGAGAACGACTCAGGGTTTTTATAGCGTATGAATCGGCGCTTGGGTTTCTCGGAATCGAAATGACGTTTGGGTGGCAAAGGTTTCTCACCGTTGATCATAGCCACGTGTCGCGCATCAGCGGGGAAGAGTGAGCGTCACGACTGGATAAAGTCAGACCTTTATCTCTTCCATCGAAAAGCCCAAACGACGGCCATGCTCTCTTTCTCTAAGCATTAATTGCGTTTCAAATCCACATTTAATGTTCTGATAAGGGGTGTCGTTCCAACATACTGCGCATTTAATGTCCTAATAAGGCGTATTGTGTCAGCGTACAACGCATTTAATGCATCTGACTGGCACTTATCATGCACAGGGCATGTCTGTCAGCGTAGGGACTGCTTCATTAAATGCACCCATGGCAAAAGGACAACAAGTGATGTCTAAAAAAATCAGGTCGTTCGTCCCCTGTAAACAATGAACATGTGAGGTCGTTCTCGAAAAAGTGCCATCCCGACCTACTTTCAGGCAGGTCGGGATTTCCAGAATTTTTGAAATTTCCAGAATCTCCAAGAATCATCCAATTGCGACATGACTTGTAGTTTCCAAGTTTCGGTTCTCAAACCTTAAAAACTAGGGGACTTCTGTTATGCCTGGGAACATAGCGCTGATGTGGCGCCCAGTTAAGTGTGCAAGGTCAGACCTCGGGAAGAGCCTACTGCCATTCTGACGCAGCTGCTTCGTGTGATCATGGTGGCACCCACAGCTTGCTTCCGTCAGAGTAATGGGTGCACGTCAGGCCAGCAAGGAGTTGTGATGACCCCGCGTGTCCAACCCTACAGCAAATCACGTGAATTACTCTAAACGAAGGATTTGCACGGATCATCCCACCAACTTGCAGATTCAGTGATCATTACATCAAGGCATCCCACTATAAAATGGGAGCTCCTTTCTCATTAAGGGGATTCGCACATTTTACTCTTGAAAAAAAACTCTCTCTCTC